AAGTGCAAAAGATATTCTGCGACTTAGTCTTAAATTGAAGTTCCAACACTTATTGAACACCCCTCGTATGTCACTTAATGAAGCATCGTTTGTAAGTGTTAGGTTATTTGTAATTTTTTCGAATTTTGTAAATACTTGTTAGCAATTGAGCATATGCAGATTATCGAACATTACAGTATCTTTCTGTGCCAGGAACTTAAAATCTTATTCACATTTCAATTTTCCAAAAATAACCTTGGCATGCAATCTTGGAACTAAGTGACTGAAATACATATTAAATATTCTTCAGAAATTAAAGATAGCTTGAACGTTACGCTGAATGACATTTTGTAAATTTGGGATACATCACCATACCAGATTTGCCGAATGTTGTGTTCTAAACATTGTGTTGTCAAAACGAGAAACAAGGTGTTATCAGCAGGTGATTGGATAAACCATCCATCACGAATAATAAGGAAAGGGTTCCACCACAGTATAAGTCAAATAAAGCTTCATTATCAAATGTAGCATGCGTTTATGTTGAATCTTCTAAAGAGACTGATTATGAAATGTTTAATTAACTTTCTTTGCAATGAGGTCGACAAAGATTTATTAGACACTCACCGAAGTGCATAACACAAACATTTTGTACAGGGCACCGCTCTTCTCAACCATGAAACCTCACCACCGTGATAACCTACAAGAGGAACACTATTACTCTATTCATGGCATTCACTGATGTACGGTAATATATATATCAGCCAGGTCACAAGCGGTTCACCGTAGAGAATGGCTTGTTATGGCGTTCTCCCTTTTGAGTGTCGTCGAGTTACATAAAGAGGCGTGATTTATTTGCTTATCAAATATTAATGCAATGTCAAGCCAGTGCCGTAGCCAGCCAGCTTCGGTTTTGATCAATCTTAGGATACAATGTAAGGCAGTTGGGTAACGTGTCAAAGCTCTACTCCCTACATTACCCTACTAGGAATGCATATCACTCACAGAGAGAGGTTGACATCATTGTAGTAGGGTAGCTGCCATCTCAGTCATGATCAGGTGCTGTCAGCCATGACGACGTATCAGTGAGGACATTAACTATTCATTACAGCATATATATTTCGCCTAATATATATAAAGGGTGTCTGGCAGGGTGTTGTACTATTCATGTCAGAGTGTGACCGGGGTCGTCTTTACATGAATTGCTTGCATAACTTGTTTTATTGGACATGTATTCGATATCCTTATATCACAGACATTGGTAACCAGTTTAGAAAAATGTACAATAGCTAATCATCAGTGATGTACACATACGTACCATGAGATTATGGGAATATTTCGTGATGTCAGACTAAGGTATTCTTGTCACACAATTCACCCTGGACAATTGTAACACTGTTATGGTTAGGACGTGTTGTGTTTTCTGCACTGTGCACAGTATGTTTCTTTCTCGATATGTAAGCGCCACTTATATTCTCTGACTGCTCTGTTTTTATCAACTTAATAACATGTAATGGCTTCATGCCTTTGTTCTGCGACCAGTCGAAATATCAGAACTATCCGACTTTACTTCATGGGCTATGGGTTGAATTTTTGTATTTCCTGTACTTTGAATATTTCCCGTAACCGGGAAAAGAATCCTCACACAACGCATTTTTCTTCTTTACAGATTCTCACTTTTCTTGAAGCAAATTTAAAGATGTCTCTTTGAGGTACTGTTTAATGAAATATGACTAAGTAGCTGCTCGCTCGCCGATTAAAATGATGAAACACAGCCTTTATTTTGTTTGTTCCTGAAAATAATTGTTTTATTAAATTAAAACCGCATTTGTGTTACCATACATTATTTGTTGTAGAAGGGTCGAATATATCCATGAGGCAACATGTGTCTGATGACCCACAAGTTACTTTTGCAATGACATCAATTCCCTGCTGTGGATTTGCTAGAATATTGCTGTGGGTTAAATCTTTGTTTTTCCTGTACTTTGAATATTTCCCGTAACCAGCAAAAGAATCCTCACGCAACGCATTTTTCTTCTTTACAGATTCTCAATAAGTGCGAAAAAAGCTTCTTGAAGAAAATGTTAAGAAGTCTCTTAGTGGTACTGTTTATGTCTAAGTAGCTGCTAGCTCGCCGATGAAAAGGATGAAACACAGCCTTCATTTTGTTATCCAGAAAAGAATTGTTTTATTAATTAAGACCTCATCTGTGTTACCATACACTATTTGTTGTAGAAGGGTCGAATATATCCATGATGCAACATGTGTCTGATGCGAGCAAGTTACTGTTGCAATGACATCAGTCCCCTGCTGTGGAATTGCTGGAATATTGCTAAAAGTGGCGTAAAACTGACTGAATGACTGACAGCAGATGACAGTTTATAAGAGTGAGTGAGTGAGTTAAGGTTTATCGTCACATCCGTAATATCCTAGCTATATCGTCACTAACAATAATTATTAGAAGAGACCCACATCCGGTCATGTCAGGATAGAGGAGAATTAGATGTCAGTTGATAATAATATGAAAATACTTCTTGGTGGGAGCTGTTGAGTATGTGGACTGGTGCAGTCCGCCATATTTAATTGTCCACCCATGTTGTGGAATAACAGAGGTAACAGAGGTACCAAAAATTGCAAATTGAGAAAATGAAAATGAAATCTGATTCTCTGCGTAATTTAGACCTTCTATCAATCAACCTGTGTTCCCTACATTCTCCACCTCCTGCATGCGGCTCACGGCTAGGTCATATACCAACATTTCAGGCATCATGTGATGTGTACACTGCATTTCATCATGTACATGTAGGCACAGAGAATATCTTAGACCATTATATCTTTATTATCATTAAGCTAATGTTACATGTTAACGTGCAATACAACATGGACCTGTGTTGATGATATGCTTTATATACATTTGTAGATACCATGTAATATGATATGACCACGTGTTGGTCACGTGTATATTGTGTTTAGCCGCAGACCTAATGATTATATAGAAGTACGTGTATGTCGTGTTACATCACATACTGCAGGCATACAATTCATCAGGTATCCATTTTTAACGGTGGCGTGAAACGGGCTAGTACATGCAGACACACGCACACACACAGACACGCATACACAGCCACACACACACACACACACACACGCACACGCACACACGCACACGCACACGCACGCACACACACACACACTAACACACTAACACTCACACTAACATTAACATTAACACTAACACTAAAACGGGAAGGTTTAGCCTTACCAGTTCAACAACACCCAGTAAAAATGTGTCTTTCATTAATAGAGCATATGTAGTGAACCTATGACCATGAGAATGAACTTGACCTCCCAAGTTAAATATGCTATAATGGAGACATATTATGTGCAAGCATCACGTTCTTTTAAAGTAGGCCGAATTCTGATATAACTTCCAAACAGAAATTTAAACCCAGCACGTTATCTCACAGCTAGGGATGTACTATGTTTGTACAAGGACTTACATGATGGACTTCAGTAAAAGATAGCAATATAGTATTTATATTTTTGAATTTGGCGAATCTTGGAATGAGTGAGTTAGATTAAGCTTAACGTCACATTGGCAATATTTCAGCGATGTTGTGACGAGCGATATATATTTGTTATTACTTGTTAAGTAAAAGGGTCGCCTCATCGAGTGACGTGACAAAGGAAATTGCATGTTGTCATGAATGGGACACCACAAGTAACCATGATTGTGTGCTAACCAATGGAGACGTCCCTGTGTACAGACAGGATGAACTTGTGTACTGGCCAGTGATGACGTCATTTATTACAAACTAAAGAGGATGTGCTTGTATCGTGACCAGAGAGGACGTCCCGCATAACTGACTGAAGAGGATATGCTTGTTTATTGACGATAGTGGAAGTACTTGTGCACTGACCAGAGTGGACGTGCTTGAGAACTGACTGGATAGGACGAATTTGTAAACTGACCAGGGAGGGTATGTTTGTCAACTGACCAAAGGGGACGTACTTCATTACTGACTAAAGATTATGTCATTGTGTGTTGACCAGAGAGGAGGTGCTCGTTTACTGGCCACAGATGACATCTTTGTGTGCTGACCTCAGAAGACGTGTTTGTGTGTTGATGAGAGAGGACGTCATTAATACGGACAACAAAGAATGTGATTGTGTCTTTGTTACTGACCAGAGGGGCGCGTGTGTGTGTTGACCAAAGAGGACGTCATTGTGTACTGATCAGAGAGGGCGTAATTATGTAATGCCTAGATATGGCACCATCGTGTACTGACTAGAGAGGACGTGCTTGTGTGCTGACTGGAGGTTGTGTTTTTTTACTGATCAGATAAAATGTTAAGTGATCAGAAAGGGTTTGTGTGTGTAATGACCAGGTACACCAGAAACACGTGCGAAACGGTCGCACTAGCGCGATTACTTTTCTTGTTTTGACACAAATTGAACGTATTCGCGTTGCCTTCTACCGCATGTGGACCAGGAACACGGCAATGACATCATAAACAACATAGACTTTACCCACCGCCCCAAGTTTCACTTAGTTCGATGCTCGTGATAATTAATGCCAGATTCTCCCATCTCATGATGTTTGGTTTGTCAGCATAAGATCCGAGGTTGTTCAAAAACCGAAAGGGTCTTTGCTACACACACACACGGCATATATTCATTGTGGGCTAAAGCGGCATGTATACACGTGTACACGTTAAATGACGCCCAGACATACTTTACTTTTATAAGGTAAATCGGCAATCTCACAGCCAGTTCAAAGACATTTAGAGTCTTTTGCACGGGTATAACTTAAGCTCTTTAAGTCCTGTTGTAGCAACATGTTTTTTTCCTAAATAATGATCATGTCATTTATAAAACAAAGGCATGTATTAGGTGTTCTACAGGAGTGGACGCAATAATGAAACCGCATCGCTCACCACATGTCAGTAAGTTCATTGAAATCCATTTTTATTATACAATTTATACAAAGGACTTTCCTTCTAAGTTATACGATATACACCTACCTGATGTAAAGTGCAGCACATAGACACAGAGCAGGACAACGCGTCTGACCCCCTCCATGGCGGCGAGTCTGTGCACCAGGAAACTTATTCTGCCTTCACGTGACTATCAATGTGACAGAGAGTTAAAAGAGCCTCTCTGAATGACTATTGTTGCTACCATTCACTGTGCGTTGAGGGTGTTCGTGTTATTCACCTGACATGACAAAGATAATGAATGTTTAAACGTCCGTATACGTTCCTGCATATACGATCCCCTGGTGACAGCGGCAGGGACGGGAAACTCACATTTTGTGAAAACACCCACGACCAAGTACACGTATTTACAGACGGGAAGACGCAGACACAATCGGTATTTACGAGCGACCACACCATGATCTGTTGTATTAGTTCTGCATGTTCTATTTCCCCGATTTAGCCACCTTGTGTGAATTTGGCTTAATTGTAGACCCTATGATAAACATGCTAGTGGATAGACTATGCTACCTTACTAATGGTCACACTTCAAAACACAATTTTGCCATGAATAAGTATACTTCAGAGTGAAAGGGAAAGTGAAAGTTGGGAAATGTGGTATTTTAATTGCAGTGAACATAACATTTAATATTCTACTCCAGTGAAGATGACATTTGATATTTCACTGCAGTGAACATAACACTTTGACGTATCTATTGTCATTCAGGAGTTACCTTCCTTTTACTTGTCTCTATTGTAAGTGTCTAGCCCATACACAAACTAACTTCCTATTTACGTTAGTTCTACATTGACATTGCAAAATAAAGACAGAGGGTCATTTATGGAATTAATATCGCTTCTTGCCGTTAATCTCTTGAATCTGTATCAATTGTAAATTTGTCATTTAACACTTGCCAATCAAAAACATTTGTTTCGCAATACGCGATTTTAGTTAGTTGGTCAGTATGTATTCTTTCTATTCCAAAATAGTCTTTTAGATTTAAAGGATATCTTTTGTTGAAGTTGATTTTGTATATCATCATATTAATCTAAATGGCATCAATATTTTTTGTTTATATTTTTAAAGATATAAGTCGCAAAAGCAAGAGGTGGTGAAACGTCCCTGAGTGTTAGGTTGGGAGAATTTACGTTACAAGGTTTACATTTGCAATAAAATAATTCAATTTTCCTTTAGAAAACTACACAGATAGTATATAGTACTGATCTCGAGCCACTCGTAAAAAGTTAAAAAATAGTATATCCTTTCCCTCGTCCCTCATTATCACTAAAGACTCTGACTCGTAAAAACTTAAAAAATAGTATATCCTTTCCCTCGTCCCTCATTATCACAAAAGCCTCTGGCTCAGAAGGTATCAATACATTCATTACACGGTCAGTAAACAGGGTGTACAGGCTGCCCTGCATAGTGACGGCTAGCTGCTCACAGACGTCTCCTACTTCACATGAGCGATATGCAACTTCCTGGTCCAATAGAAGCGCCTGTACACTGTGTTCATGGGTTAGGCATTTATATACAGAATAATGAGCATTGTGTTGATACATTTTCACCGTTGACGAAATTATGACAGAACACTGATCAATGCGTTCCTACTTTGAACAGCGAATGCGGTGCTTTTTGGCACATGTGCCTACTTCCATTGACACCACATTGGGCAATATAGCTGATGATGTCTCACATACCCGTGCACATCCAGTGGCTGGTGTTCCAGTAAATATTGAGTTAATGTTAGTCTGCTAGAAGTCGACTGATTGCATGAACAACGACTGAAGCCATTATGGCTCGACGGTAAGCGGTCTGATTCGATATACACAAATGCAAACCAAAAACATTTCATTATTCATAAAATATAAAACGTCAATGCAAGAGACTAACCATAAAGAAGAGAATATATGGATGTCAACTTTTATGAGGAACACAACGTTTCGGGGGGAATATATGCTTACTCCTTCATCAGGTGAATGAATGCCATGAGGCAGAGAGCATATATATGTACATTCAAGGACAACAACATTAATGAGATAATAAAAGCTTGAAATTGTATGTGAGTTATATTATCCAAGTACAATCCTTTGTTGTAATTATTTACAGTTAGTTTGGGTTCGTAACAGGGAACATAAGTGCAACCATTAACGTCACTATCTCTGATTTAGATTAGCTTAGTTTAGCTGTGATTGGTACGTTTTCTCTGCACATGCAAATGGTGGACCGATCTTTTCCAAAATTGATTCGTTAGACGTAGAATGCTACCCATCTGATTTCTTTATAGTAAAATAAATAATAGCTAGATCTCAGTGATGTCTACATACTCGAGGAATACATAAACATGTCCTCGAAATAGACGGATCTGTTCTTATCACTCCGTGTCAGCTGTATCCACCCCACTATCACCACCACACCGAGTACCCCGACACCCGCCATGTTGAGCAACGAGGAAGTGAAATATCCGGCCAAACTGTGTCAAACGTTACGCTCACTGCACATCTATTGAGCGTGTTTATAACTCTCAAGCCACACAGCTTCGGTGTTGAGCAATCTAAGGATACATTGTAGGACAGTTGGGTAGGGTGTCAACAGTTCTTTTCCCGACATTACGCTACTTAGCGTGGATGTGACCCACGGAGAGAGGTTGACATCACGACAGTGGTAGCAGGGTAGCTGCCATCTCGGTCATGATCAGGTGCGGTCAGCCATGACGACGTACCATTGAGGACAATTGATTAACTATTGATTACAACATATTTATTTCGCCTAATTTATATTTAAAGGGTGTCTGGAAGGGTGTTGTACTATTCATGTCAGAGTGTGACCGGGGTCGTCTTTACATGAATAACTTGCACAACTTGTTATATTTGGCATGTATTCGACATCCTTACATCACATACATTGGTAACCAGTGCGTCTCAGTGTAGACAAATGTACAATAGCTAATCATCAGTGATGTACACATACCACGAGGCTATGGGGATATTTCCTGATTATAGACTAAGATATGCATGACTACTTTACATTTCAGTAGTAAGTAGCACGAGTCTCGCGTACTTGTCACACAATTCACCCTGGACTAGTGCAGCAGTCATATGGTTAGGACGTGCCGTGTTTTCTGCACTGTGCACAGTATGTTTCTTTATCGATAAGTAAGCGCCACTTGTCTGCTCTGTTTTTATCAACCTTATAACCTATAATGACTTCATGCCTTTTTTTCTGCGACCAGAACTATCCGACTCGGGACATTTTACTTCATGGGCTGTGGGTTAAATCTTTGTTTTTCCTGTACTTTGAATATTTCCCGTAACCAGGAAAAGAATCCTCACGCAACGCATTTTTCTTCTTTACAGATTCTCAATAAGTGCGAAAAAAGCTTCTTGAAGAAAATGTTAAGAAGTCTCTTAGTGGTACTGTTTATGTCTAAGTAGCTGCTAGCTCGCCGATGAAAAGGATGAAACACAGCCTTCATTTTGTTATCAAGAAAATAATTGTTTTATTAAATTAAGACCTCATCTGTGTTACCATACACTATTTGTTGTAGAAGGGTCGAATATATCCATGATGCAACATGTGTCTGATGCGAGCAAGTTACTGTTGCAATGACATCAGTCGCCTGCTGTGGAATTGCTGGAATATTGCTAAAAGTGGCGTAAAACTGAATGAATGACTGACAGCAGATGACAGTTCATAAGAGTGAGTGGGTGAGTTAAGGTTTATAGTCAAGTTTTCAGCCATATCGTCACTAACAATTATCAGAACATCCGGTCACGTCAGGTCGGAGGAGAATATGATGTCAATTAATAATAATATGGAAGTACTTCTTGGTGGGAGCTGTTGAACACTGACCAGACCAAGCATGTGGACTGGTGTAGTCCGCCAAATATAGTTGTCCACTCATGTTTTGGTATAACAGAGGAAACAGAGTTATCTAAAATTGCCAATTGAGACACTGAAAAAGAAATCTGATTCTCTGCGTAATTTATACTTTCTAACAAAGAACCTGGTTTCCCTACATTCTCCAACTTCTGCATGCGGCTCAAGGCTATGTCATATACCAACAAATTAGGCATCATGTGATCTTTACACTGCATTTCGTCATGTTCACATAGGTACAGAGTATATCATAGACAATGCACTATATTTATCATCATTTAGCTAATGTTACATGTTTATGGTGCAATACAACATGGACCTGTGTTGATGATATGCTCTATATATATTTGTAGATACCGTGTTATATCATGTGACCATGTGTTGGTCACGTGTAGATTGTGTTTAACCAAAGCCCTCATGTAGATACAGTCGAACGTGTACATCATTATGCAGGTATACTGTTCATCACAGCGCGTCCCCTCCTGTGTCTGTCGTGTGTTCGTGTATGTATGGTAGAATACCTCCAAATTGGTACTTTCTGGTGACGCATTAAACGCAACTTCTTGCTTCTGCTCAGTGTCTTGTTATTGTTGGCAGTGTTGAGCCGTCGATCAGCCCATGGCCCGTGGAATCACCTGAAGATAGCTGATGGCCCCCTTGTCCAAAGGGTCATTGTCACTTGAGTCAATAATACAAGTAACCCGAGATGCTGTACTCCTACAAACATACTTAATACTACAGTAACACTCGAGCTGCATGTACCTCGAGATTACACAGACACCTGGGTGGTTGGATCGCGGGCCATGAGGCGAAAGTGAAAATTCAACTCTGTGGACATTACTTTCAGTCAAATGATATCACTTCTAGTCTAATGATATCACGTCAAGTCTAATGACATAACTGTGTCGGATTTCCATGTTAAACGGTGGCGTGAAAATATAAATCCGGGCTAGTACATACAGACACGCGGACACAGACACGCGGACACAGACACACACACATACACACACACGCACGCACGCACGCACGCACGCACGCACGCACGCACGCACGCACGCACGCACGCACACACACACACACACTGGCACAGGCAGGCACACACACACACAGACACACTCACAAACACTAACACGCAAAGGTTAAGCCTTACCAGTTCAACAACACCCAGCAAATAATGTGTCTCTCATTAACAGAGCATATGTAGTCAATGTATATCATTAGAATGAACTTGCCCTTCCAACTTAAATATGCTATAATGGACACAAACAA